TTATTATTGTTATTAGTAGTAAAAAAAAAAAAAGTGAGTTTAATTCTGATAAACTTTGACAGCAATGGATATATTTTTCCGCGAGAGCTCCACTCTTTCTCTAAAATATATATAGCCTTTTTATTACACACACACACACACACACACACACACACACACACACACACACACACACACACACACACACACACACACACACACACACACACACACACACACACACCCTCTGGCTGTTTGTTGTATTTTAGAAAGTCAGATTATTTTATATTTCTGAGTCCTGAGGGAGAGCTTCGAGTCGAGGAACAGAAAAAGGTCAGAAACAGAGAAACATTCTGCGAGAGGAAAGGGCAGTGTGTGTGTGTGTGTGTGTGTGTGTGTGTGTGTGTGTGTGCGTGCGTGCGCGCGTGTGCGCGTGTGTGTGTGTGCGCGCGTGTGTGTGCGCGTGTGTGTGTGTTTGCGTGTGTGTGTGTGTGTGCGTGCGTGTGTGCGTGCGTGTGTGTGTTTGCGCATGTGTTTGCGTGTATGTGTGTGTTTGTGTGCGTGTGTGCGTGTGTGTGTGTGTGTGTGTGTGTGTGTGTGTGTGTGTGTGTGTGTGTGTGTGTGTGTGTGTGTGTGTGTGTGTGTGTGTGTGTGTGTGTGTGTGTGTGTTTGCGCATGTGTGTGTGTTTGCGCGTGTGTGTTTTTGCGCGTGTGTGTACATCTGATTGGTTGCCATATATGTTTAAAGTCATGCACGCGTGTCTGCACCTAGACATTTATGTGATTGTGTGTGTGCGTGTGTGTGTGTGTGTGTGTGTGTATGTGTGTGTGTTACTAGAGTATGGTTGGTAGGTATTGATGAATCCTTAGACCTTCCATCCATCAGTGTGCTGACCTTTTGCCCCAAAAAGCCTGAAAATTAGCCATTAATGGTCAGGACCAGAGCAGAGAGGATGACAGCGAGTGGCAGAGGCCTTAGGGGTAATTGTGTGTGTGAGTGGTTTGTATTGTGTCTTAAAAGGAACATTGAGACCAAGCTGCACAAAAGTGTTTGTCACTGTGACTGGATGCTGGATTTAACGTGTACTATATTTAGAATAATTGTCACATTGAGGTCTGTTTTTTTATTTAAATAATACCTTTCCAGTTCACTGACATTCAGGATTTTCCATACAATCTGCCCCACCAATCACAAGCTCTCCCCCGAGATGCCAAAATTAAAGGTTAGACCCGTGTTTTCAGCCGAGTGAATTGCTAGAGTATCTTCCAGCTGATCCCGGTTGTCATAGACACTAACTGCCCTGGTTTTAATTAAAAAGAAAATGTTATAAACTGAGAGTGAAATCAAAGTAGATCAATCAGAATGTATGGGCTCTCATTAAGGCAGATATGAGGTTTTTTAAATGACTAATCCAAATATGATGTTAAAATATAACTTGTACACTTTACCTAAAACAAGCTTATTTAGTAGGAATGTGCATTGAAATGTATACATATGCCCTTATTGGGTTTTCAAAGGATCAAACAGTATAGAATACAGTACAGAATAAAACAGGTATAGAAGTGCGTAAAACCTAATTATCTTTAAACAAAACAATATTGACATAACTTAAATGACTCGTTGATTTAAAGCTTTGAATTATTTTTTTAATTATTTCATAATACTTCTCTCGCCTCTGCCTTCTCATGCACTTCTCCTTCTCTCCCTGTCTCTGTTTTACTGATGGATCAAGGTGATGCTCCTGCTGCTGTTGTTTTTTCATCAAAACACATTCACAAACACACAAACAACTACACACCCACGCCGGCAGAGTGCATCGGGGAGGGGAAAGTGCACAGGAGAGGGGAGTGATATGATATGTGGTTGAGAGTTGACAGGTTTGGAGCAGGAGGGAGGGAGGGAGCGATGAACTCACAGCGGAGAGACTGAGATGATTAACTTCCAAGAGAGGAGAGTTGGAGGAACAGAAAGACAACATGTAATGGAGTGATTTGGCAGGATAATAAAGCACATATTAAGAAAGAGAGCAAGAAATGAGAGAGACTGATCAGTTAGGGTGCTGGGATGAAAAAAGGAAGACAAGGGGGAAACGTTCCCTTGTTCCAGGGAAGATGAGAGGGGAAAGAAAATAGTACAAGCACCTTAGAAGTGGAGGAAAAAGTCTGCATGTTTGCCTGAAGCGTAGTAGGTGGAAAGAATCTGATGAGAAGTGATTAAAGGAGTAAAGGAAAGCCATACGTTGAGTCAAATGTGAGTGTACATTGGAGTGGTCTTTAAATTGCTCTGCAGTGAAGTATGAGAGGCAAAGAAAAGCGGGCGGAAATGCAGAGATTGAACAGCAAAGCCTTCAATACTCTTTGATTAGCTTTAGCCAGCAAAGATGGACGGGGTCGATGTCCCTAACAAAATAATAAATGGACTATTTTAAAGAGTTTTTTAAGTTAAGCCACCACTTTTTCTAGAAGGTTTTATCTTGCTTTTGTTTTGTTAATGTGTTATTGTGTAAAGGTATTTGTGTATGTCATGTTGTTTATCAGTTTATGACCTTTCCAAAGCACAATGCACAAAATTACGCCACAGCGATGCTGAAAAAGCCAAGAGAACACATTTATTGCCATTTCTTTTTAATTCTTTGTCTACGTTCCTGTGGTGACGAGTGATGCTTAAGTGAACAAAACAGCTGGAAACATGACTACTAAACATTGTCTTAAATCCTTTCAGCCCTGTTGGCAGAACCCCAGCTCGCCACACACTGTAATGTGTGTGAATTTAAAGCATGAGTCATTGTAAGAAAATAGCAAAAAGCTGTGTGATGGAGTGGGCTGCTGAGGTAATTGTTTACTCGGTACAACCACAACAATAGTTGTCCAAACGGATTCTAATTGGATAGAGATTCATTTTTGGGCAGCAGATTCTTGGCAGTAAAGTTGATTTTAAGTCGTTTTATCTTCATTCACTGTTTTGTCTATCTGCAATGTTTTTTGAAAGAAAGCTGAATTATTTGTATAATCGTGTGGTCTTCCATCAGGGGTCACAGCTGGGCCAATCAAAACTGATGACTAGGATAATAAAACACAACCAGAAGAAAATATCATACACACATATGATCATACACACACAATGGGATACCATGATAACTGCTCCCAACCAGCCATGTTTTCCGCTTCAGTACACACCGCTGCACATGACAGAGCAAGGCACACATGGGGCACATTAACCTCTCCCTGTCACACACACACACACACACACACACACACACACACACACACACACACACACACACCATACATTTCTCCTCAGGGAAACACCAGCTGGGGCATGCAAAGTATGGAGTTACCATGGCAACAACATCTATAGGTGTGGCATTGCTGAGTCAACAGTAAGGGATGAGTATCCGTGCTCGTGTGTGGCATCTGGTGTTTATTTGTGGTTAATGTTTATGTTTGCTTTAATGGACATCTATCCTTCCCCTTATTACTGCAACAGTCTTTGTGTATTACAACCTGACAGCAGTGAAGCACTTTATTACGATATGTCCCCCTGCAGCAAGCACCTTTCTGTGCGGTAGATGTGCAAATTGTAATCAAATAAAACGATTGTTTTTTTTCAGTGTTACTTAAAGCCTTTGGCTGTTGACTTAGCATATTAGCATTGCATTGCTGCTTGCAGTTTATGTCCATATTTGCTCATTCATTAAAAAATACGAAATATTTATGTTATGGTTTTATAGCTGAAAACTGATTTTCCTCAGCTTATTATAAAGTGGAACATTGTGGAGATTCATGATTTCACAGGATAGACATTTAAACCTGAATATAGACTCCTGAAAATTAATAAAGACAATTATAAAAACAGGCATGTCAACATTTGATTGTTATTTCAGCCTTAATTGCTACTGTTCTTCACCTTCTGCCAGAGTCAGGCACTTAAAATGCAGTCATTAGGCTTTCTTTCTTAATCATGGAGTTTCCATTTCAGTAGCTTTTTCTCAACAATCAGTGCAAATTTGAGATGCAAATAAAGCCTGTAAAAAAACATGGCTTAAAATCTCAAGTATGCATGACTGAAAAAGCAGCATCAAAGAAACACTCTAACTTGCAAACTGTCACCAGGAATTCTGATTGGAGCTCAGAATTATTGAACATCCATTTTATTTTATAGCTGAGTCCATTTCAAAACATTGAGGAGAGGAAAGAGAAACAATAAGAACAGAAACTTCTCATGTGAAATTGACCAAAACTATTCAAACTTGAGAACATTTAGCTGAATTAGTCCTTCAAACTAACCAGCTAAATTAAGAAGAACCCTCGTCATGTACACTCTGCTCTCTAGTCATTGGACGAGCCTATGTGCTTGTGTGAAACTGTGTATCCAATTACACCAATGCTATGTGGCTACATTGCTGTGTCATTAGCAGAAGTATTAAACTAATTGCAATTAAATTAGGTTCAAGCAACCCTTCTAATTTCATCCAGAGAAACATCTAATTTAATCTGTGTAATCTCTAATCAGTGTCTGTATGGCACTCTGGGTAATCAACACTCAGATCTTTCTCTAAAAAACACGTTATCGGTACCATTTCTATTTTTACCTGTGTGTACACCGGTGACTTGAAGTGCGAATACATGTGCTGGAAAAAGGACATTTGTGTGGATGCTTTGGGGAAATGTTTAGGTGTGTGTGTGTGTGTGTGTGTGTGTGTGTGTGTGTGTGTGTGTGTGTGTGTGTGTGTGTGTGTGTGTGTGTGTGTGTGTGTGTGTGCAGTCATTATATTTATGTCTATATTCACGTTTCCTCTCTGTTTTGCATTTCTGTGATATCTAGGCTGCTTTTTTTCAGTTTTCCTTTTCATCGTCAAAGACAGAGCTGTCATGTGCAAACACTCCGTATACAACTTTTTACCATAAATGAAAATAATAAAAAAAATACCATCAAGGGATGACCGTATTGTGGATAGAAATGAATATATTGCACAACACCGCGCACACACACTTGTGTCCCACTCCCAGTAATGGTCCTTCATCAAAGTGCTGATAGATGTTGCCCACCAGGTTGATGAGAGGGAGGGAGAGAGAAGTAGAGAGAGGAAACACTCCAGTGGGTCTTTGAGCCAGAAACAAAAAGCAGGAAACTGAGTGAATCACAGAGGAAGAGACATTAAAATATGAATGGTACTCACAGAGGGACACAGAGAGAGAAAGATGGGTTCTGTCCATAGCGACGAAGGCAGATTCATCTATTAAAGGGCATTTTTCACAACTTTATTTTCATAGTTGTGCCCTAAATTCATATCGGGTTAACAATGTTTTCCCTTCTAACATTATTGATGATGTCTGGGCACAGTTGGCGAGCTGTGTTCAATAGATGAAGCATCATAAAGACATGTTTTATGTACATTCACACTTCAAAAATATTGCTTCAACAAGGGAATGGAAGGCAGCTGAAGGGTTGGTACCCAAAATGACCTTATGTGCTGAGATGCACAAGCTGTGGCTCATACGGGGGTTCGGTGCAAAGGATGATTCTAACCGACATTTTTAGTGCATCCGCTTTTGTTTTTACTTCAACAGAAGGGTGTTATTTCACACTGGAGTTGCGAGTGTCACTTTTCAAACAGTCTTCTTACTATAATTTAGACAAGGATGAACAAGATGTTGTTATGCTTATCAAGGTCACTTAAGCTCTGAGCAGAGGAGAGTTAAGGACTTTGTTTTCCCCGGGGGTTGTGTCTCTCAAGATTTAAAAGAGGGGAGCTGTCCTTTCTTCTGATTGGTTGAAGTCGTACCTGCGGAGAACTATAGGTTCTTTGAAGGTCTGGAAAAGTATCCCAGACTCCTCAGCACTGTGTATTTTTATTTCACGACAACATTTCCCCAAAAGCCATTTTCTATTTGGACATAAATCAATGATGGGGCAGTAAAGGAAAATGCTTATTTGGGAGGAAAAGGGAACTCTTAATCATGAGCCACAGCTAAACCATCAACAATAATGTAGGAACAAAAGTAAGTGAATTGTCTCATATTTCAATGTTTGCTGTCACTTCATGTTTATAAAGTCTCTTGAATTTAAGTTAATGGAGAAAACTACAGTTGAGAAATATAGATTATGACCTTGGAGGACCTGGGGGAAAAGAGAAATCTGTAATGTATAGCAGAAAGAGAGAACAGGTTTAACAAAGAGTGGCACTGTGCTTCCTGCAGTCTCAGTGGGACTGTAGCTGTACGTCGTATCCTGTCCACCAGCTGTCACTCAATGCAGGGGGTCTCATCTCTGACACCTCATTAACTGACAGCGCACACCAGTCCTCTATATGTGCGTGTGTGAATACAGTTTATAATTCTGTTGTGTATATATCAGCATCCCGCTCCCTCGAGGGGTAAGTGCCCCTGTGTGTGTGTGTGTGTGTGTGTGTGTGTGTGTGTGTGTGTGTGTGTGTGTGTGTGTGTGTGTGTGTGTGTGTGTGTGTGTGTGTGTGGGGAAGACACTCATTCCTAACGACAGTAGAAGGTCGCTGTTATCAGTCTCATATTCTCTTCCTGTCTCTCCACCAGTCGTCACTTTCTCTCTGTCTGAAGCTGCTACTCTGATACTGTCTCATCATGTGACATCCGCACTGTTTTTCTTTCTTCTTATATCCGTCCCATGTGTTTAAAGTGGATACTGCAGTGAAACATAGTGGATATAATACTGCAACAATATAAGGATCTGTGACACCACTGTTCTTACTTACAACACTTTGATTCTCCAAAGTGGTTTAAGCCCAACAAATTCCTGATTTAATTTCTGTCCATTTCCTTACACTGGAATCAGTGACATTTACTTTCATTCATTTTGTATACCTTTCATATGAGATAATGTGGTAATGTCAGTCTGCATCTGTTCCACAATCAAGCTGACTGCCTTTTTCACCTTAAAAGAGAAGGATTATTCTAAAAAGGGCTTTTACTTTTTACAATTATCTGAAGCACGAACACGTGGTATCTGGTAAACACTATGTGTGTCTGCTGATTACTATGCATTGCTTGGGCGGTAATGAGCGAGCTAATCTGTTTGCGTGAGGGCTGTTATTATGCCCTTATCTTATATACCACACTAGCTGTAGGCTCAGTGCTGATGTTTTATGAATGTTGCAACGGACACATTTAAATGGGAGTTAAAGGATGTCCGTCTGTTGTTATTATTATAATGCAATGAGCTCTGTCCTTTTCATAATCTGATATTTGTTTGTTCAAATCTTTTTCAGGGCATTTTAGAAAACTATATAGACAATTCTGTGAAAAGTGAAATTTAAATGATAAGTTAACTTAAATTATAGAGACTATAATTTTCTGTTAATTATTTTCATAGGTGTCGTATTTCCGGACGTGCTTGGCTTGTTCCTAGTCATTCTTTAGCTTTTGTCTTTCATTTACATTTACAACTTAAACAATGCAAATACCTTCAAATCTGTGTACAACTATAGCACTACTATGTGATTGACCTTTTAATGCACAGTGGTGCTTCTTCTTTGTCAACCATTTACAAGTCGACATCTAGCAATGCTACTAAAAATAGCCTCTAGATACGACCATGGCGTTCTTCGTTGGTCATGTGACACTTGCCTTGCAGGTCGAACTGATCCTGGATGAGTCTTCCCTAAAGATATACCAGCTTGTATTCCATCCAAATCATGTGAACATATTCCTTATAAAGCTTAACGCCACTTAGTTGTGTGAATAGTGTCTTAGCTACATAGATGATGTTGATGATTTTAAAGTAAAATATAGGTTTCTGTTTCTGCTAAGGTAGAAAAGCACTATCTAAGTTTAGTACATTTACCATAAGAGTATCTAACAAAAATCCCTGAGTATTCAGCCAAGGACATTTCTAAATATTCCTAGTAGGAAGTGTGCTTGTTAAACTGCAGAGGCTCGTACTCAGGCTGACGTCAGGCTGAACTCACTGTTCAAGCTTCAAAGCTTTCGTTTTTGCATCATTGCAAAAGCAGTTTCATTAGCTTTGATTCAATGCCACTCTCACCTTGCTCAGGGAGAACTGCAGGGTAAATATAAAAAGTCTAATGTTACCTCTAATGCTCATATCATTTTACATGCGTGTTAAAGACTAATATACCCGTGTGAACCATTGGAAATGTAACAGTGGAAATCAGGCTGGAGGGCACAGAGGGATTAAAACAGCCTGGTGAGAGGTGATATTGGCCACGTACGTACACATTACCTACTATAATGTGCCTGAATGTGGGGGTGTAATAGGAGATAGGAGGATTTGAGGGTCTCTATGCAATAATCCTGGTCTCTATCTCCCCAAAAGAGGGGATACATAGAATTGAAGGGGGCGAGAAAGAGAAAGCAGATCAAGGGATTGAAAGGCTCTTTGAGAATTAGACCTCTGGCCTTGGTGTGTGTGTGCATGACCAGGAGGTGCCCCCCACCAAATCCCAGCCCGCTCCCTCCCCCCACTATCACTACCACTACTCGGGGCGTTACCATGACGACGGGGTTAAAGGGCTAGCCCACGAGCTGGAAAAAGAAAGAAGATGCGTTTTGACATGAGCTGAGGTCTAAGTGCTGCAGTCTGTTGAGAAGGCATTCCTCTCTTTTGTTGCTGCTGTTTCTCCTGTTTTACTTGCATCCATGCTGATAAATGCCACTGACAATTTCCCTGCAGGTTTTCATACTTGTCAGCGATTATCTTCCATTTCATTTCTCATTCATGCCTTCCCACTCAGGGTTGTTTGTTTTTTAGTCCTCATCCTCTTAAATTGCTCAAGGTACTTGGCTTTGTGCTCCTTCCGCTAGAATTAGCAAAACAAACTAGTTCAACCGCAAACAACAACACGCTGATTTGTGCCATATTTTACACCCCCCACTGCGTTGTGCATTGTAAATACCTGTGGCTGTATATTTTTGGACTTGACTTCGAACCAAACCACATGCAGTAATGAGGGGTTTTTAGATGAATATAGCAGTAAAGACTACTCTGATTGTTTCAAATATTGTTAAATAGCTGCATTTTATGACAATTTGCTACTAGACAAAGTAATAAACCTAAAATAACCAATGAATCATCGAACAGGCAGCTGAACCAAACCAAGAACCGCAGTAACAAACACACAGAAAAAGGCGCGTGTGCATAATATATGTATAAATATGTGCATACATTTAAAATTCCTCCCCATTATCATCCCTTTCATTTATTTTCCCTTTTTTAGGTGGTCCATTTTTTCTCTTACTGATGTTGAATGATAGCAGTGTCAATGTACATTCGGGGAGGGTGGGGTGATCTCATCAGACGTGGAAAAGTGCATGTTGGTGTAAATTAGGTGACGGATTACTGGAGTTATCTATAACTCATATGCACACACACCCCTAACCTCTATAGCCTGTTCTCCAACTCACCCCCATCCATTCGAACTCTGCAGTACACCCCCTCATTTGAATGAATGTATATGAACACAGCTCTTATCTTTGGTAACCTGGTGGTGTTCTTTTTTTCAAATGTAGTAGTGGTACCCATGTAGAACAGACACATGTGCACACGCCTACATGAATGAATGGCCACACACATCACCCATGTGCGCGCACACACACACACACACACACACACACACACACACACACACACACACACACACACACACACACACACACACACACACACACACACACACACACACACCAATCACTTCTCCTCTCCTAGCCCCCCCAGGGGACACAAAGTCCTGCATCAGCTGCTAAATTGCCTAAACTCTCTCATCTGCTAATGGGCTACCTGTCTTCCTGAGCCTCTCTGTCTACGTTGATGACTTTGTGTTGTCTGTCTGTCTGCCGCTGAGCCTTCCTGAATGTCTGATGTCTTGTTTTTATGAATGCTGGTTGTTTTTTTCCATCTTTGTGTCTCCGACCTGTCTTCTTATTTGCATCTTCTGTCTTTCTGTCTGTCTCTTGGGTCATTAATACGTCAATCTCTCTGTTTCGATCTGTCATTATCTGCTAGTCTGTATGGCTGCCTATACCCTCGATACACACATCAAATAAACTATAATCATGGGCTTGTGTGCTGCTAATAAACCAACATAAAATACGCATCAAAGTAAATAATCTGATGCTCATGGAAAATAGTATACGCATTAGTATCAGCTGCAGTCGCAATACTAGAAATAGTATTGCCAGCAGCAGTAGAAAAAGAAATACGTAATACTCTCTAGAATCAATATTATACGCACTTCTAATAACTTGGACTCAAACTGTAGTAATAATTTAATTGAATATGACATTTCAGCTGCGAGATTCATATACTGTAAGTTGTGGTTATGCCGTAGTGAGTGATAGTATAGTAGTTGTTATGTGGCTAATAGTATTTGTGTCTATAGCTACATTTATATATTGTTTAACTGTGTGAATGAAACATGAAACCTTTTTTTTTATTGTTCCATGCCTAGTAAGAGCAGTTATGTTAGAAAGTAAAAGATACAATTATTTAAGTTTTTGCTAAAAGTATTATTATTATTAGTACTAATGAAAAAAGCAGGCTGTTCACATTGATTGTAGCGCTAGTTTAAGTCCAAATACTTGTATTACTTTAACTAGTAGCAGTTGTGGCAGTATTATTTGATTTGATCAATAGGAAGTAAGAATTCATGTTATTCACAGTATTAGTATAGCACACATTCAGTAGAGTTTCTGCTACCGTGTTACTGTATGAAAGATGGAAGAAACCTTTTTGTACATCAAACAAATGTTACTATGGAAACCAAGGACTCAACGTTGTAGGGTGTAAGACTTGCATACAACCGGGTTATTGTAAAAAGCTATAATACGTATATCATACTGGTCTTTGTAGATAGCTCCCATTGTACTTTACCCTTTGTGTGTTCTCCTTTTCTCACCAGTCAACATAGAGGACCCTTTATTCTCACCTCTTCTGTGCTCTCTTATATCTGCCATAATTTGGGATGGATTTAGATTATAGCCTCCTTGTGTGTGTTGGAATCCTAGCTTCAATTTCCATCATATGTTAGAAAGCACTTGATGTATTCTGGACTGGTTTATGATGCACGCAGAATAAAGGGGATGTTTTTTTTGTGGCCTTGTCAAATTCCTTTCCCTCCACCGCTCCTTTATTGTCAATCCATTTTTCCTCCCTCTTTCAATGTGTCCCCCCTAATGTCAGCCTATTCCATGAACCGTATCATAAATAGAGCCCCGCTGACATTTCAATTTGCCCCATAACCCTTCATATATATACACACACACACACGTACAGACCAAGTTCACTGTTGAGCATCTGTACAGTCGCAAGCCTCTCCTGGGTTTCCAGGGAGACGAGGAAAAGCAATAACTGCACACTTGACCCCTCTGCTCTTTGATTGGTCTTCTTCACACATGCATTGCATACACACACACCCACACACACCTCAAATCTAATCTGGGAGAGTGAGCCCCACTTGGCAATATTCCTCTATCTCCCCCTGAGGATTGGAGAAGAGAGGCAGAAGAGAAGGAAGTCAGTCATTTCATCTTGCCATTGACCTGGACACGATAAGATCGATTGTTTGGCACTTGCAGTCTCCTCGTATCACACACACTCACACTCATGTGGGAAGGTGGAAACACACTCTAAACAAACAGATCATCACAGTTTCCCATCCTCAGTCACTCTCATGAAATGTCTCTTTCTCTCTCTGTGTCACAATAAAAGTCTAACAACTTGCCAAAAAACTTTATGATTGTGAGAGATGATGAACGGGGAGAGGAAGATGAATGGTGGGCAAGAGGGGAAATAATGACAGAGAGAAAGATGAAGAAAATATTGAGTCTTAGCGGAAGAGGGAGAGGGAGATTGAAGGAAAATATTAGGAGCGGTGACAGGCCAGCCTTAGCGACAGGGCTGTTTACTGTTTATTTTGGTCTCCAGTCTCATTTCTCCTCATATTGGCAGAGTCGAGATGATTTCCTTTTTCGCTGTGCATTCCCGTGTGGATTTCTTGTGTTTTGAGGTTATTTGTGTAAGAGCCTCTGTGTTCGCGTGTCCCCTGTTTGACTCGTTTAAGATCATCTATCTGAACTCAATCTTTCCACAATCATCCGTTGATATGGTGCAGTCACGATACATCAAGGTCCCACTGTGGGATTCCCTGTTTTTCTTCCATGCCTACTCAAATAGAGTAGATCAGACACTTATTTTCATCAAATATTGTTATTTATTGTGCATAGTTTGCTCTCAGAGTTTGATTCAAACAATCAAGGTGCCAATAACACTCAAGAAGCTTGTGTAGGTTTGTAAGCATTGTTATTGTAGAAAAACCTATTTGTATTTCATTCATATTCAGTACAATCACCATTGTTACAATCCAGATTTTGCCTGAAGTGTTGTTCCTGAAGCTTTGAAATCGGATCATTTTGTTTGTGTGTGTGTGTGTGTGTGTGTGTGTGTGTGTGTGTGTGTGTGTGTGTGTGTGTGTGTGTGTGTGTATGAATGAGTTGTGGGTGTGTATTTGGCACTCATTTAAGCCGTCCAGAGTGACCACAATCAGCGGCTAAAACCAGGTTTCCGCTGTACACACTTACAATGAGAGCATGATGATTTCTGCCTCTCAGTAATCAGGTCAGGGTCGATTGGATTGTGTGTGGTGTGTGTGTGTGTGTGTGTGTGTGTGTGTGTGTGTGTGTGTGTGTGTGTGTGTGTGTGTGTGTGTGTGTGTGTGTGTGTGTGTGTGTGTGTGTTTTGTGTGAAAGGCAGCACACAGTATTGCTTCCCTGCAGTGTTGCCTTCTGTAACACAGGTGTGTGTGCATGTGTGTAAAGGATGCTCTGCTGCAGCTAAAAACATACATGCATGTTACATATATTATCTTTGTTTGTGTTCTGAATTGAAGTTCGATTTCCAACTTTATTTTTGTAGTGTAAATCATTAATCTTTTAGGGTATACAAATGTGTATGTATTAGAAGGAAAGTAGAGCCACTTCTCTATGGGATGTGCCTGTACAAATAAAGTGATATATATAGACTGATCTTATACTTGAATACTCTGTAAGGGCAACATGTGAGGAGTCTCTTGTGTAAACGCAGTCCCATTCATGTCTCTGTGTACTCCTGTGTTTGTTCCTTGCAGTTCTCCAAGGAGAAGTACCTCCTTGAGTCTCCTCCTGAGAAACTTCGTAAGGAGCTGGAGGAGGAGCTGAAACTGAGTGCTGCAGACATCAGGAGCCATGGCTGGTACCATGGACACATACCAAGAGAGGTAAACACAACTGTTGACTCTGTATACATGCTCAGCAGAAAACACCAAATGAGTCATGATAACACTAATAATAATAATAATAGATTTAATTTGTTAGCGCTTTTACAGGTGCTCAAAGACGCTTGGGAGTCCTGGGCGTATGTTTGAAAGAAGATGGGTACACAATATACTACATCCAAAGCAAGAGTTATTTTATTCCAAAATGGAGCAAACGTCACCAAACCCAATATCCCCAAGGATAAATAAAGTGTCCATATAAGTACTACAACCAAATGTATACAGTACACACACACACACACACACACACACACACACACACACACACACACACACACACATACATTCAGGGAATCCTCTTGAGACATGTGTATTAGAGCTGAAATGATATTTCATTAATTTAATTAAGTTTCAATCATTTAATCACCTCAAAATTAATCCGAAATGTATCTTGGAAAAACTTCAACAATGCTTCGTTTTCAAATATCAACATGTGATGCTTTTGTTTGCTCATATCATTCTAATAAAATTTTGGGGGGTTTTCAGTGTTAATCTGACCAAACAAGACATTTGAAGACCTGAACTGATCAATATTGTAGTGAATTTTTTTTTACTATTTTCTTATAAAAATGACCAAACTCAATTTATCACTAGCCAGTGGTTCGTTTCTAAACCTTAAAGGGGACCTATGATGCAAAATGCACTTTTGTACGTCTTTTACACATGAATATGTGTCCCCGGTGTTCCAGGGAACTTACCAAGTGTCAAAAATACACAACCCTCTTTCTTTTCCTCCATACCCAAATCTCTTAAAAAAGGGCTGCAACGGATCTGATACAGACTGATCCAGATTTGAATTATTTTCTACGTCACAAAAGTGGTGCTCCGCCTAGTGGGCAACTCTCCACCTATCAGGGGAATGTGGAGTTGGGCCACCGCCGGCCATTGCCGCTCGAAAGCGCTGGAGACGCTGTAGTACATATGCCAGGCCTTTAAGTGGCGCTGTAGTCTGCCACAAAAGCAGCGAAGAAGACTTCCCTTGCATGGTTGCCATGGTTGCCCTTCTGTTTATTAGACAAAATTAGAAAAGTGCCGGTCAAAGGTCTTCTTTGTTATTTATTGAGCTTTAAAACAAATTAATAACGACTCTATATAATCATATAAGAATAAAACACGGACGACGGAGATCTATTTTTCTCCCCCTCTTCTGAGAGCCCAGCAGCTGATCTCAAAGCACGCTCCCCTCTCCTGCAGGGGGGCGTGGTCAGCTGCAGCTCACAGAATCAGACCCCTGCAAAAACAGGGCTGGAAAGAGCAAATAGAGCGAAATGAGGCATGGCTAAAATGCAGGATCTGTTTGGTATTTTGAAAAAAAAACTATATATTTATATACTTTATATAGGTATGGCCCTACAATATTGTTCAAATATAGCATGATATGTCCCCTTTAAGTTTACAAGATCCTGACCAAGATATGAATAAAAAGCTTCAAATTAAACTATCTGTCACTGTCTCCTAGCCCATGTGGCAGTGAAATAAATAATGGATAAGCACTTCCACAACACAAATTGCTGCTGGTTTTTTTCAACCACATTTCATGTTATATTTCAAAAAGGCCAGAATAAATGATTTCAAATTACGAACACAAAAGCGTTTCTTTATGGGTTTATGTTGTTGTCAGCAGTCAATAGTATTAGTTGAGCGATTACTCGGCCAAAGTCTCTGGCTTTGAAAGCACAGTTTAAATGCTTTACACACAGAATGACACTGATTACTGAATCCCATCATCTGTCACAGCTCAGTAGAAATTGCTTTAGCGCTCAGAAGGAGGGGAAACTCTGCCAAACAGACAGCTGTGTGTGTTGCTGATGTACGCAATTCCACAGCTGGTGACTGAGACGCGGATAAAGACACACATCAGCAGACGTGCACACACCCACACACACATGCTTACAAACTGCATGCACATGTGGACTCGTACATAGATGCAGTTTCTGTCTCTTGATCAACCTCTGTTCTCTGTCTCGCTCATAAACACAGATTAAATTCAGCCATCTGAGTCTTTCCTCTTTTTATTTACATAAAATATTCATTTATTCCGGGTTTGCCCCAGTGGAAACTTGGGGAAACCCTGAGCCGCGTGGTAACCAAAACAATACTTATTGACTAGACTTCACACACTTTACATCCTATATCCTTCTCTGCGGCTAGCTTTACACATTATTTATGTTTTTCACTTTTAAATTAGGGCCTTTGTATATGTCATGAGTGCCTACTAGACCGATGTGGCTTTTTCAAATTTATTTTTAATATTTTGTTCCGGCCCTCAGAGTAAAACAGGATTTATTCTCAAGGTAAATTGGGCAATTGTGAGATTTGAAAAATGCTCCAAAGATCTTTCACAAAAGAATTAGAAAAGAAGAGACACACGCTACACTTGGATTGAGCTTTTGATCTGTGAATATACTGCCTCCTGCTGGTGTGTGAGGCACTGTTTACATTTTGTTGTGCTGCATTGCATATGTCCAGCCCTTTTTTCTTGTATTTAATTAGTTTAAAGAATCACCTCTTCACCCTTCATCATCAGTTTTCTTTTGCAGGTGTATTTAAACGGAACTCTCCTTAGTTTGAAATGTATATCTCCTTGTACATGACTTACTGAATCAATATTTAGGGTCTCTTTTTGCAGTTACCAGAGATACTTTTGCAGTGTTTCGTATCAACAAGGTGTACAGCCTGAAGCTGCTCTATTAACCATGAATGGAACATTGCTATTCTGTCAATACATTCAAAACAACTCATTTTGACGGTAGTGCTGAACACGGTGGAATGCATCTTCAAAAAGTCATTGCGTCCATTGTCGCAGGCTTTTTATCCATCATTGCCAAACTGTGTATAGGAGAGACACTTTGTTGTTGAGAGAGATGGTTTTGTTTGTTCAGAGAAACAAACTGTCCTAAGGCATTGTTATAAATAATCATGATTCTCAAAAATCAATTATTAAACAGTGAAAGTGTCAGAAAGAAAATAAATATTCTCAAACGTGCTGTAGCTCGGTGAGCAAAGTTAGCTTCCAGCGCTTCAAAATTGGAGCCTTTTGTCTCGTTTATTAACAAAATACACTTGTTTCTCTATTTGTTTAGGTGGCAGCGTCTCTGATTATCCGTAATGGAGATTTCCTTGTGCGTGACTCTCTGACCAGTGTGGGTGACTACGTACTGACCTGTCGATGGGATAATGAGGTGCTGCACTTCAAGATCAGCAAAGTCCTGGTCAAATCCAGTGAGACTAAGGTACGTGTAAAAGCTATTCTGGCTGTTTCAGCACCAGAGGACTTTTACTTTATGTTCGGCAGGCATAAAAGACAGTGGGGATACACCTACTGTCGCAGTGTGCACTCTGTAGTTTATTTAAGGCCGTAAGAGCACTTCACTTAAAGTAACTCAGTCCTTTTTCTGGGTGAGAGCAGAGATCACAGATGTAACTAATGACATTAAAGATGGCTGTGCTGCATTTAGTTTTCTTAGCCAATATTTTGCCTGTAAGTCAGCACGCAGAAAACACGGAGCCCTAGCATTAAAACAGCTGTTATTAATTGTAAGGGTAACTTCTGCAGCAATGGAGAGTCAGGACCCCGAGAGACACGAGGAGAGTTGGAGCTTTGATGTCAAACACTGGTGTATCGGCTGGGGAATTTCACATCACAAGTCACAGCAGCCAGAGGTTCTGACTGCACTGGTGGGTTGCCACATCAATTCTGCCCAGCCTCTCTCTCGATAGACCTTTTAACTAGTTTACAGAGATTTAATCAACATATTGGGGCAGATAATCTAAACAGCTGGGCCCACTGAATCACTTGCGTCTGACCCTTAATGGCCTCGAAGCCAGCGTTCTCACCCATAAACCATTTGTGACCCAGAGTTGACCGGTCATAGACTGAGAAATATCAACATATGACTGCATTAGCACTTTCCTTACGGGAGATAACAGAGCCAGGGTTGGTCATAAACGTCAAAGGGCAAAAGGTTAAATATCTAGGAGTAAAGACAGAAATATTCCCTCACATTAATGACATAAGGTGTGTATTAACTACAGTCATTACTGGCCTTTATAGACATGGTGGCCATATTCTCCTCCTAACCGCCCTACCTATTAGCCCCATACCTGAATGTAGTGCATTTATAGCGTTACTGTTTACATCTGTGTTGGCAAGTCAAGATTTATTCTCTTTTTCTCTTTCCTCGTTGGCCGCTAATGACAGAAATAGTTGAGGTTGCGAATTTACTGCAGGTGTGCATTTACTTTGGCGAGCTGTGCCGAATAATCTCAATTCAGTCCCTGCTATTCTGATGAGGTATTATAGGCCTTTTTCAGATTAGACAGTTTGATAATATCAAAATGTATATATAAATATATAATAACAAAATGAATGAAAGCAGTATTCCATTTTGCTGATTTGATTTCAGTTTCCTTGTATCATGCATGCTGACACATCATCACTGTCACTGGGTAGAACGAAGACATCGTTAGGGTTTTAAGTAACACCTATGCCTTTTCTCTTACTATGTCAAATCAAATGGCTGCTGTTAGTGCACAGCACAAAAGGTCTTACTAAGCAGTCTTTAGATACTTCTGCACATTGTAATTTGGTTTTAAACACGGTAGAAATACTATTTAGGGTTCCCCTTAAAGAACTCTGTCGTTGAAATAAAACGTTACCTTTGTGAAATGTACGTGAATTTGGTACAAAAGAGAACTCGGGTCAGGTTTGCTCCCCCTCAATGTATTCATGTTTTAAACGTATAACAGCAGAGATGTTATAGTGGTTTATATCATCTCTTTGTCCTCAGGTGCAGTATATGTTAGAGTCTGACAGCTTCGACTCGGTCCAGGAGCTTGTGCGGTTTTATATTGGCCAGCGCAAACCGGTCTCAGAGTCCAGCGGAGTCCACATCTACTGTCCGGTCAGCAGGACTCTCCCTCTGCGCTACCTGGAGGCCACCTTCGCGTTGGCCATGAGCAAACAAGGCTCCGCCTACTCCCCGTCCAGCCAGAGGGGGGCGTACATTAAGAGACGGAGCGTCACCATGACCGATGGGCTGACGACGGAGAAAATGATACCCCACAGGTGAGCCGGGAGAAAAATATGTGTTTTTAGTGGCAGAGGTGCAACAGCCCAGCAGCCAATTACAAAACCCTGACAGTTCTTTTTTGCAGTGTTCATCATATTTCATTCTTGCTTTATGATCTATACATCAGTGACTCAGACAGTCCCAGTCCCAGTCCAGTAAGGACACCAGTGGCACCTCCAGAACCAGAGCCGGAACCTGTGCCCATCTGCAGGTTGTGTGTTTGTGTGACACTAGCGTTGTGTTTGATCAAAAAACTAGTTTCCTTTCCTTCCACAATCCTGCAAATCCCCTACTTCACAAACACCACTAGCACCTTCCCTATTAACGAGCATCACGTTGTGTTAGTTCCCTTGGAGTGAAGTTGCAAAATGACTTGTTCACTTGTCCACTTCTGCACTGGGTCACACTAGTTTGAAACAGAACAAGGCTGTTTGAAACTTGTTCCGACAAAGAAGGAGCAGACAAATATGTTGTGTGAAGTTGCTATCATTTTAACCTCATGAGGAGTATGGAAAGGAACAAGGGACAAAAGCAATGGAAATTACACATTGGGCATTAGAAGGCAAATACAAATATATATATATTAGGACATATATTGAATATATATGCCAGTATGTATGAAAACTCGAGACATTAGTTTAGTGTGCAGATTTTATTTTCCTAAGAAGCCACACTGCTACATTGTCTGCTCCTACTTTAAATTCCCAAACATGGCTTTAATTCATAAATAACACATGAGTGTCATGAAGTTGAATAATTGTCCCACTAAAATGTCTTCCACTTCTCTCACCCTAAAATGATTTGCATCTGTAATGACACCATTCCTGTCATCTGAAACTGATGAATGTGACACTCTGAACTGCGCCGCCTGGACTGCTTTTAAAATCCATCCCCAAAGATGTTTAACATCCCAAAAAATGCTTTGTTTTCAGCCCTTCAACAATCCACCACCATAAAGACGCAATGAGGAACTGTGCGATGAGCATGGACCAGATTCAGGAGTACCGCTGCCCCCTGTCACCTGTTGGGGAAACCCCCTTGTCTCCTGCATATAGTGCTAGTAAGTGCCGCACAGACTACCAATTAAGTAAAAGCTCCCCATTTACATTCACAACAACAACAAAATGTACATAAGTGATTGACTTTTCTCTTTCTCCAGTCACCAGGCAGAGAGCCCACTCAGGCGGGCGCGCCCTGGCCGTTATCCCCCCCTCCCCCGTGATGCGGCGCTCCAGCGACCCTCAGCTCAGCCCCTCAGCCAATGACAACCCTGCAGACCACCCCGCGCATACCTCTCACTCTGCACACTCCACGCCTGCTCATCATCCCAGCTACCAATCACATTCCTCAGACACAGCGGGGAGCTACTGTGACCTCAGACCTTGCCCCGCCGGCCCCCCTAAACCCCCGACCAAGGGCTATGTGGAGCGATTGCGAGTGGAAGAAGGGAGGGGGGACGGAGCGAGGGAGGAAGGAGAGGGGATGTTCAGCGCCCCGCAGGTGGAGACAACGTCCTCGTTTAGGCCATCCAGGTACGAGACACATAACGTACATTCTTCGAAACAATAATATGGCCAGACATATGGCCTTCCTTTATTTCAAAAGGTCAGTTCACCTGCTGACATTTTACTATAGAGGGCAAAAAAAGTGGAGCGAGGCAATTTAAACCAGGTACTGCAGTACAACTATGAGCGAGCAGAGACTGGAAAATAGACTTGAGTGAACATTTGATAATCCTGTGGGAAATTGCCTGAGGGCAGACTGTGCTGGGGTCAGAGACGCAGCGGAGACTGGATCTTATTGGGCTTACAGTGCCAAGGAAGGACACAGCAGATGAAGCTCGTCACAGGAAAATGCTCAAGTACACTGAGTCGCCAGCAGCGAACTGAAAGCCTCCCCTGTGAAATGTTGCTGCAGAAGGGATTAATGTCAGTGTAACTGCTGGGGAAATTGTCAGTTAAGGTGACCATTGACTGACTTGCTGGCATGACTAGGATAGGATGTCAATAATGTTAAAACTAGGATTGAGTGTCCCTTGGTGAACAAATGAGTGTGAATTTGGTTTGCTTTGAATATTGGTCCAGAGAAAGCAGAGCATTCTTTTCAGTGGCCAGCAGGGGGTCACTTACCTGTATATTGTTCCAAAATGAAATTATATTGTAAAGAAGTCTATGAGAAAATGAAAGTAAAAATATTCTTAACGAGATTATTAATTCAAAAACTAATGTTACGTCTTTTTCCTTAGAACATTTAATTTATGGCCACATTTAGAGTAAAATAGACAATAACGTTTTGGTTGTACTTTTGGTTTTCAAGTTACAAATCATTACATTGGGAAAAAAAATTAAACACTCTTCTCTTGCATTCCTTGCAAGTACTCATGTTAAACGGGTTTAAATGTTTTCTAATGTGCTTTAATATTCGCTCTGGTGCAGGTACGAGTCTTGTCTCTTGCCAGCTGAGAATAAGCCTCTGGAGATGTCGGTGCTGAAGAAAGTCAAAGAGCTGCTGGCTGAGGTTGATGCAAGAACCGCAGCTAAACACATCACCATGGCGGACTGCATGGTATGCAAACACACACACACACACACACACACACACACACACACACACACACACACACACACACACACACACACACACACACGACGGCGGACGGTACGTAACTAACTTACGTATNGCATTCAATTCCCCTTTGTTAAAACATTTGCTACCATTTTCATTTGTTCCAATCAAGGGCTAAATGAGAGGAGGGGGTTGGTGAAGAGGATGAAGAGGGCCTTGATTGGAACAAATGAAAATGGTAGCAAATGTTTTAACAAAGGGGAATTGAATGCCCTCTTTTTAGTGGACCATGTAGGGGGGTCACTGTTTTGATAATAACTAACTAAAAGTGCAGAGTGTGGCTAGCTTAAATTAACAAAACATAAAATGTATGGCTTTTACACTTATTAAAAGTATGCATTATATACTTTTTTAGTGCTTCTATCGCTCTTTGGCACAAGCTACAGCCTCGTTACCATAGATACACACACATATGGTGACACAGCATCTAATGAATTAATCAATGAGTGACAGCAGAGGATTAATCAGCTTTGCTCCTGAAACACAGCCAACACTGTCACTTTCAGACAAACACAGCCACAGCTTTTGATGTTTTCATTATCATACACACATTAAATGGATTAGCCTCGACTTTAAACACAAACGCATGAAAACAGAGACCAAAACAAGACTCGCTCTGCATTTACTGTGAGTTAGCAAAAGGCCCAAAACGTCCTAATATCTGTCTGTTAAATATAAATCCAACATATAGCGCATGTCTGGAAACCCATGACTCAAGCGCTTACATTATATGGAAGGTCACAGCGGGGAAGTGTATCATGAACAAGTCTATCTGCGCCTCGGTCACTGTGTCATCTGACCCCTTGCTGTGTCAGTACACACACACACACACACACACACACACACACACACACACACACACACACACACACACACACACACACACACACACACACACACACACACACAAACACTGGAATTTCACTCAAATGCACACCATCAAATATGCAAGTAATCAAGCATGCACACACACACACTCTGATGGGGGTTGGGAGGGTTGAGATGGGTGTTGTCTCCATGTTGTTACTGGGCTGTTGTCATGGTGATGACGATGGAGCTTTTACTGCTAGCTGGGACTTTGCAATACAAAAAAAACACTCTCTCACACATGCACACACCTCTTTTCATTGATGCACACCTTTTGAGAGTAGCCTTGCCCTTGCAGCTGATTTTAAGCAACAGAAAAATACTTGAGTGTGTGTGTGTGTGTGTGTGTGTGTGTGTGTGTGTGTGTGTGTGTGTGTGTGTGTGTGTGTGAAGGTGTGATAGTAAACACTCCTATGGGACACACTAGTCGTTCCTCTAAGAGAAGCTCATGGGAAATTAGCCTGTGATAGCTTCTTACAAAGTGCTGCGCGTTCACTCTCCCCTCTCTCTGCCTTTCCTCCCTACATGTTTTACACTCCCCTCCCCCCTCTTGCCACCCACACCTCCCGCTCCCCACCCTGCAAAACACCCCTTTTTTAGTGCATGATGTCACTCGCAGGCTTGTAATTGCCAGAATAGCTGTTATAGGAGTTCTTCCAAGACTTCACGTGTTAACATAAGATGCATGCCAGCCCGGAATCCCACTTAAACATAGTGTAGTTGAGAGTTTATATGAAAAATTCAAAACAAAACTATAGATAGACTTAGGTCGAGACGGCACATACAGAAATCTATTTCACCATTTGTGATAATGCTATTTGAAAAAAGAATTGCCTTTGATGGAAGATGTTATTTGCCTGTGCCTTGTCCTTTACTCTCTTATATCTGGGGACTTTTATTCCTCATTTCGTACATACAGGACACAAAATAACTAATATCCACTGTTTTTATATCCACAGTCTCCTCCTATCCCTCTCTAAAACCCTGATTATGCATATGCATGAGTTATATGTGATCTAGCACACGATCTGTGCGTCCACGCTGCATGAATTCTGTCTTATTAGAAGTGTAATCTAATTTGAATTGAATGACTTCCAACAAAGCGATCAGATTCCAGTCAATTAAGTCTGTTTAATCTCAAATCAGTATCGGGTTCACATTTACACCCTGACCTGCTTCATTAATAACTAATATATGTTATCAGTGTCTTCAACAATATACAACTCTATCTGCCATATCTTTACATGTGACACGGTGTGTTTAAAATTCTACTGCAGTATGCTGAACAAACTGACTGAGAATGAGTATTTTTGATAATCAATGAAACTGTTTAAAAGAATACAATTGAGAATTCTTCTACACCTTTTGGCCTCAACAATGCATCAAATCTGAAGACCCATGCGTTAATGTGTAGGCATGTTCACATTTATGAGTGATGGTGTGTGTGTGAGCTTTACTGCCATTCTCAGCTGCTCTCTGCAAATCACCCAGAGAGCTCTCTAACAGCCTCCAGTCTTTTCTTAAAGGAAAATGATGCATTAGAAACTCTGCAGAGGTCCAGGGCCTTCTGTAACTCAAACACACTACTCCCAGTGGGATTTATTAGATAGTAGAACAGAGAGACAAACCGTCTTGGAAATCTGGGAAATCTTAATCTAAAGAATAACAATCTCCCTGGGAAAACACACTCTTCAATTCCCTTTATTCAAGTAACATGACGAAATCAACACTACCATCATCATAGCGTTTAAGCAGGTGCTATATCTCCACAATGCATCCTTTATGTATCATTTCAAACCAGAAGGCCCTACTTTTTGTCACCAACAATGGGCATTTAAAGCACCAGAGCACAACTCCCCAGCTAATTGTTTCATTTTGGAGAGCTGAGCCTTTAAAGCTGCGCCCGTCTTTGATCCTATGGCCTCTGCTTTCTCCGAGGTCAGGTAAGGTCAGATGTGAGGAGAGCAAACAATTGCCAACCTCCTGCTCCAAATTCCTCCACTATGCCACACTCCCTGTCAGCTGCGACGCTCCCAGCATATGTGAGCGTGGCGTGTCTGAGTCTGGATCCACAGGAATGTGTGACACACACACACACACACACACACACACACACATACACACACACACACACACACACACTGTGTGGTAGGGCTGTGCGATTATGGCAAAAATCATAATCACGATTATTTTTGATCAATAATTGTTATCACGATTATTAAAAACGAATATCCATTTACTTTGAAAACATCCATTTATTGAAAAACAAAATTGAACAGTATGTTTTTAACAGTTGATTACCCTGAACTTTAAATATAATTCAACTGAAAAACCAATAAAAAATAAATAATACAAAATTAAATACATTTAAAAAATCATATTAGTTTTATTTTGATTGCGTTGTTTGAATAATCGTTGCAACCCAACATCGAGATTAAAATACGATGAATTGCAAAGCCCTACTGTGTGGCAGTTCTGAAGGTTTACTTGCAAAACTAACAGACACTTGACTTCATTAGGATGTGTGATGTAGCAGTAAGAGAAGACGGGGTGAAAAGCAAGAGAGACTGATAAGAGAAGCGGAAAGGAGAATATTATTTCTGGATCTATCGGAGCAAAATTGATTCAATACATAAACTATGCTAATGGGAGAAGCCATCAACCTACGCTCAATGCGAAATAACCTTCATGTTTGCAGTTAGATCGCCTATAGATCCTCTCTATTCATCTAAAGGAGCGTCTCTACACTATGCTGCGTTCATACCTTCATTCAAGTGAAGGAACAATCATTCTTACATTAGAGGCATCCGCAGAAACATTGACGAATGTAATTATGATTAAACAAATTGCAGGGCCGCAGTAAGGAATGTCAATGTTTGAGTCCATATAGAAGCAGAATCAATGTAAGGTGATGACGCAAAATGTAAATATTCACCAAAGTAATTACATGTAGCCCTTCACTTCCAATGTTAAGAGAGGAGAAGATAATTATAACGCATAGGGGCATTTCGATCTCTAACCTGGAGGCAGGTATTATGTTAAAATCATCTCTCCTTCAAGCAGCCTGTTTAAATGCAGAGCAGCTCTCGCCATACGTTCCCTTGCTTTCGCTATTCTACTTTAATGCTTTCTTCTATCATGTCAAGAGAGAGAGCAGATGATTACATGAAGCACTGAGCTGGAAACCTCTGGGATTCTGGCCTGCAGCTAAAAGTCATGATATGAAGAGACCATCTTTTGCATTTTCACTTGTTTAAACGGTAAGCACATAATGCACCCAACCATACACTGCCTGAAGAAATATTTCTACTAGAAAGTCTGGCCGCATTTCATTTAAATTACAGTATTTAGGACTCATGTCTTCACCTTATTGCTCTTTGTTCTGACGGCTGATCTCATTTAGCACTAAGCTTTTATTGTGTACTTGCAAACAAGTTTACATTATTTGATAAGAGGCTTAGTGAACCATGTGTCAACACATCCACATTTGATCTTTTTAAGGAACCACTGAACTCTTTCTACCTTCAGAGTAAGCTTCCTATTAGTGACCTGCAGTGGAAATGGCACTGAAACTCCAAGTATTTTCTCTGCCCTTCCAGGCTAAGACGAAGATTAAACGAGAGCCTGAGCATGAGGTATCAGAGAGACAAAGCAAAGCTAAAGAATAAGATAGAAGTGGACCCTTTAGTAAGCATATTGAACACTTCCTGCATTAAAGTAAGAGCCTTCAAGCGAAGACAGTATAAGCCTTCTGTTCGGCTTTTACTGTAAAGCAGCTGCTGATGTTTTTGAGTCACAGCCAGAAATCACTATAGGTTAGTTTCTGCAGGTTTTAAATGACATCTTCTTATTCTTTAAGATACTTAAAAGACAAGAGCCTTTTTTTCAAGATCTAACGGTTTAACAGTTTTCTGTAAATGGTAAATCCCTTAAGTGTCTTTGACTGCACCTACTTTCACGTTTTCTTGACAAGTAACATCTTATCTTAATGAAATAATCACAGAAGCAAAGATGGGAGTAGCAGAACGTTTTTATAACGCTACAAAAAAGGCATCAAAAAAGACCTTGACTTT